CCAATCGTTGCTTACTCGCAACACATTTATCGACAATCCGTCGATAACAAGTTATAAACAAAAGCATGCAACTGATTTATTCGCGGTTGCGGTCCAGTATACCTATTTACAGCCTCATTTAGCGCGATATTTTACGCAAAATGTACAATCTCGTATAACAAATTCGGAAAATTAAACAGATGCGACGGACATTAATACATGCTGAAATATTTTGTGAATAATATTTTCCGAAGACAAATTAGACTGTAAAGCAGTGAGCGGTAAAGTTTATTTTACAATAAATATTAATTGAATTGATAAAATTTAAAAAATTCGCAATATTGCTAAAACCGGACAAGAAACGAATGCACAGCTGCATGTGGCGCTCGATGTGTATGTGTGAACGCGTGGACCTTTATCTCCGCGTAAATCACCAGACGAACCAGAACTGAGAGAGCGGTGATAAGGTTATCTGTTGAGAATTTACATAGTGAATTACGCTGCTGGTACTAGACGTAACCACAGACTTCCATAGATGCATTAGCGAAGGTATTGCAGCGTAGACGCCCGCACGTACGTATAAAGGAGCCTCGGACCTGTATAAATTAGTACGAACAGAAGACATTTTTTAGCTCTAATTAAACGTTTCACAAAGCTTGAATTTTGCGTTATTTTATTTTTTCATGTATGAAATTATATTTATCATTAATTAAAGATATGTTAACGAATTTATTAGCAACTCTTGCTTACTTAATATTCTTGTTATCGTCATACAGTTTTTTTTTTTAATAAAGTCATTAAGCAATTTAATTTCTTTTAACAAAAATGGTAAAGTACTAATATATTTTGGGGAAAAAAAAAACAATTGAATATATTTTTTAATTTATACTCCAACATTGAGATGCAAATAGATAACAATTATTTAATCTAAAAAATGAGCTTTATTTTGAAAAAATTAAAGTTCTGCAAAGACTTGTAAATTTATTTCTTATAATTATGCATTTAAGATATCTGCAATGAAAAGTGAAATGTTCAATATTCCGCTGATGTGGACTAAAAATTGATAAAGCAAGACGAGGAAGAAACAATTGCCAACTTCGCAGAAACGCTTACTTACAAAGTAAGTTCGCGATCAGAAGTAGTAGCCGAGAAGTTGAAAGTAAATAGGGAAAAAGGTTAAGATAAATTGGACTTTATGTACGGAAATATTATGTTTCGCTCGTCTGTTTTCTTTTAAGCAAATAAAAAGGCACTATTTATGTGTGTTCCGCGCAGCATATGAAATATCATCTTTTTACAATTTTGCCAAAGAGATGAAATTTAGGACTTGTAAAAAATTTTTGTTTGATTTTATTCAAAGCTATTAAATCTATTTTTTTAAGTAAATAAAAATGCATTACGTATTCAAGATTTTTATAAAAATTAAAAAATTTATAAAATTGTAAAAAAATGGGTCTAGATATTTTTTTCACCGCACATTGACATGCGGCGTTCAGGACATTTTATAAAAACCTCGCAAAGTCTCAGTTAGATATCGGAAGCTGTTAGGATAAAGGAGCCGTGTTCGTTGATAAGGTACGTGTGTGCCCGAAATATCGCGTGCAAATTGTTACTTCCCAAGCGACACATGATTCATTACATAAGTGATTCATCTCATTCACGAGCCACTCAATCAATGAAGACACTTATGTAAATTTGCGTGCTGATGTACCGTTATACAGAGAACGAGGACGTAATTCGATCTACATTCGCGTTTCAATTTACCGCAATAGCTGCATTACGCTGGTTCGAAAATTTGCAACATTGTTTGCATACTGAAAGACAAGTCATCGAAATGTCACGATAATAATGCTTTTCGAATCAATTCTTTCATTCGAGAAATTGAGATCTTATACGCAAACGGATTCAGGTTAATTTTCTTTCCGCATATAGTCTGATTCGATAAGGCTTCTTCTACTAGAATCGTATTTCAAATGTCAATCGCGAACGCTTTGCAGAGATCAATCAGAATATAATAATTATCATAGGATGAATTGAGAGCTGTTATCGCTCTTTTCAATTTCATAATTTTTATTTTTTAATCAAATAGCTGCTTTTTTGTTATTTAAAACTTGGTTTTTTCTATTCTAGGATTTTTAACTTCTTTGTTACTTTTTGAGTGCTTAGACTAATCCGTTATTGTTCATTTCATTATTGAGAAATGTTTTAATGTTACGATAGATGTTTATTAATATAGTCAAAAATGATTAAGTACATTAAAAATTCATTGAATTGAAAAATACTTTTGTATTGCAATTGACATTTATTAACGTGGAATTTCATGGAATTTAATCAATCATCACAGTATTGAATCACTAGGATTGAATTATCGTTTAACTTCACATTGCAAATATATTTCATTATCAACCCTTAAAACTTCCAATTACGGTTATTACACGATCGATGAAACGACATCATCCACTGCTATTCCGCGTAATTCACTGTAAAATTTCAACTTAATTATATAAAATATTTCATCGTTTTGTGATTAATATAGAAATTGCTTCGTTGGCTACGAAATATACATATTGCTTAATTAAAAAATAAATGACACAATTAAAAGAATTTATTACAAATCTTTCAGTAAGCCTGCGGCAGTTGCTTCAATTGTAAAAGGTAATCTCAAAAATGAGATCTTAACTAATTAGTATTATATTTTACAGTAATTTTTCTTACTAATAATTTTTTAAATCTTTATACACGAACAACACGCAAAATAAATTATTTCTGTGTATTTTGATTTCATGATGTTTTTCTCTTCAAACTTTTACCGCACACTTTTACCGAATGCACTTGTCATTTGTTTTGTTTGCAAAACAAGGATATGTTTTCGAAGCTTTCAGTGTTTGAAAAAAAACAAATCTCATATTTTTACTTTGTATCACTTTTCTTTCAAATGAGCGATACGTTCGTTGATGCTATAAATATTTTTTTCGTGACGTTATATTCTATCCTTTCCGAAAAATAAAACTAATTGTATAATATGAAATAATTATACATCTGTCTAAATATTGCACGTTTCATGTTTCTTTATCTTTCGTATTTTCTCACATTATCACCGCAATATCATTAAATGTCTCATCCGGTGGTTTCAAGTGCGTTTTAAAGTGTAAAACGAAAAAACATCACGGAGACTGTCTCTTTAAGTCGCCAAATGGGACAAGATTTTCTTTTTTGAAGAAATAACAATCTCTAATTAATTTTAATCGAACCGGATGACTCAAAGAGGAAAATAAGAAACACGGAAAAAGTGCAACATACCGTACGTTGCAATTCGATCTTGTTAGTGACGTCGACGCCTTTCGACATCTTTTAATTGGCCAAGTTAATGAGAAGTTGTACCGGCTTATTACGCGGTAACGTTAGTGTCTAATCTTCACTCGTCACTCAATCTGTCTGTATTAATTAAAAATTCACGTACCGACCCTATGATACACGGTGCAATGCTAGAAAGAAAGAAAAATCGTGAAATCGGAAACACGGTTGGAATCAAGCCGTGGAATCGAGTTGTCGGCCGACTCGCAGCGCACAGTAATTGAAAAGCGGAACGGCGACCCTAAATTACGAGCAGCAAATTAAGCCCCCGGTGTTAATGAATCCCGGACGATGACGACAATCGACGACGACGACGACGACGAAAACAACTATGTAATACAGTTACAATGACGTTTACAGAAACATTTTTCACTTTGCACACGTTGTTGGTTACCGAATAATTCTGTACTAATCATTAATCTCTCTTATCTTATCTCTCAATTAGTTTGCATTGTAAAGCTAAATGTAATGCAAAATATTTACTAAACATAAAAAATTTTGAAAGAAGAAATTGATTAAAGAAGAAAGTATTTATCATTAAAAAATTAAGTTTGGAAAAGATGTAACTGAAATGTGTGAAAGAAAGGAGACACAAAATATAATTGGTGATATGACGAGAAGAAGCGATCGCTCCGTTCGTTCGACAATCACGCACTGACTCAGGAGTTACCTATTTTTCTTATTTATATTACGTCCTCCACCCGCGGGCATTGGAATTTTTTGAACGCAGAATCAAAACATGACGTCACGCGTTCCAGCTTAATTACTTCAAACCTTATTATTGATCAAAATTGTCAAGTGCGCAACAATGCGCGAATCGAGCAACGAGAAGAGGAAGAGGAAGAAGAACGAAACAGCAATTTATTTATGAACAATTTTTTCCATAAGGTTTTCTCACAAATAAAAAACGAAATAATCTTCTTTTATGAAATAAAACAATTGAACATTGTCTAGAAACAGAAAAATCAAGGAAAGAAATGATCTTTTTATCTATTCTCTTGTTTTCTTTTAAGTACATGTGTCTTAAATCTGATGGAAAAGTAAGAATTGCAGGGTACGAGCCGACACGAATCGCGCGCTACGTTTTACGTTCCATGAAAAACGTTATTGCGTGTTACAACTCGACTGTAGAGTTTCCGAAGTAATTTAACAAGGCGGCACAACCCTCTCGATCTCCGGGTGCACGCACACGCTCGATCTGACGCGAATCAAGCTACAGAAAGCCTCAAACCGAGCGGATGTTGGCACGGCAAGCAATTCGCGCACAAAGCAGTTTCACTTGCTGTTACCGGAACACATTTTCGCATGAATCATCCAATGATGGATGGCGAGAAAAGACATTGCGTTACGATAAAAATATATTTGCTTTCGGATAAGGTATAAGCTCTGGAAGATAAAGGTCTGAGAAGAAAATAAATACTAATTTGCACACAAAAAAAAACTAGCGCGTAAAAAACAGCTTATTTTTTAAGAATCGGCAATAATCGGCTAAAATTTCTTAGGCAGGTAATAGAGAAAATTAATAGAAATTGAATAAAAAAATCTTTCGATGATAAAGAACGAGTATTATGAAGAGTTGGACTTTTTACTCCGAAAATCTGGCTTGCTCTGCCGATAATTCTGCCGATGTGTGTTTTATAATGTGCGTCTTTTTTTTTATGTTACAGATGAACATTATTAATTTACATTCTTCCTGCACGATGATACTACTTGGCATTTTGGCGTTGACGACAATAATCGGCCTCACAGATTCTGCTCCTTTGTCGTCGTACGAAAGAAGAGACGATCGTCCCAAGATCTTCTTGTTGATGGATCAAAGAATACCAGAATTTGAGGTATGTTTTTTTTATAGTAAACATAATTTATGACAATTTTATTTTTCCTCTATTTATCTCGTAATATGTGAACCGTTCTTTCGACGCAAATAAATGTATCCAAATATACCTTGTGATGTGTCATGTAAAAAAATTTTAGATCCATCTTTCAGCAAAATAAAATAAAGAAATTCTTATAATAATTCATACAAGTTATACAAGCTTTCATTTTTATTTTATTTATATTATTGATATATCGACATCAAATTTTGCACATGACACAAGAGGTGTCTTTCAAATCTGGAAAAACAATTACAAATTAATGGCGTTTAGTGATATAAGTGGGAGATGCGTTGTGATAAGAGAGCATCATCAATAATCTGTCGATAAGTTCTAAGCGCGTGAAGCATGCGGAATCGCATTTGTTGTTAGAAACAACACGTTCCAAACGCGAAGACTATTGTGTTGCGAGCAGCAGCGCGACACGTGTCTCATCGAATCGCTTAGTTTACAGACGCTTTGCGTTTGGAACTATTAGCCGTGTGCTTCGATCGACCGGCATTCGCGCTGTAACGCCACGGATAACGCGCGTACGTGTGCGCGATGAGATATATCCCAAGTGTGCAGAGAAACAGCACTTCGATTTGGTATCGGCGTGACGGGAAATGACGCAAACATACGACGCATAAGTACGTATACGAGAGAACCGGGAGAAGCGAGTCGTGAATGAAAACGTCCTCCGCACTTCTATACATGTGGAAGATCCCACGCTGTGTTACATAGGATTTGCATTTCGTATTTCCCGTGACACCCATAACTTAGGTAAAGCGGATAGATTTCGATCGAAGAACGCATCGCGCGTATTCCTTCAGCCTACTTTAGACAATCTATGACTCGCGATAGATGGAAATGTATGCGAGTCAAGTTTTCTGGAAAATTGTTGCTGAAAAGTACGCGTGTATTATAAAAGTTCGAACAGTAGCTTATTTTCTCACACGATCGTTGTGTGTTTCGAGACTCTCCGCAGAGCTTCCTCGAAAAACAATTATTAGCTGTGCACCGCGATTGTAAGCTCGTCACATCAACAGAGAAACATCTTTATTCTATATTCTTTACGCAATCCAGACGTTGCGCGATTAGATTGCTAGATTGCCACTAAAAGATCTGCAATAAAAGAGAAGATCTGTATTAAAAGAGAAGATTTGTATTAAAAGATATGGCGAGATGCTTTTTTCCGATGATGAGATAAAAGATCTACACAAACGGATATCCGAACCAAGAGATTTTTCAACGAAGCGGAAAGCTAGCTGAAAGGAATAAGAAACTTTGTCGAAAAAGATGTGCCAAGATAAGTTATTGTTAGAATTTTCTAATAATAATTTATGAGACATTTTTTCCCTCTTCTTTGCACATATAATTTTAATACAGAAAATATGTGTGGCATTAATGACTTCTGTTCTATAATTTTCTTTGGCGAAACAGTTTAAGGACGGCACGCGGAAAGATTGCTGACGCGGTTGCGAGTTTGCATTCCCAAATTCTTTACTTGCGTTTCAAAGCGGACCGCTTGTGAAAGTGCACGCGACGGAATGGCAGAATTACGTCACGCGCACAAATTCGATCATTGCCAAGTCTACCTAAATGTGCATCTTCCGATTCGGTGCATTGTGCAGCGTGAGTCGACAGCTCCTGCGAGTTTTGACTCGAGAAATTGCATTTTTGAAACGTCATAGAGCGAGTGCGTAAATTCGCAATTGCTACGAAGATAAATTAATCTACGAGTGTTATGCAGAGAAAATGCAGTTCCGGAAAATTCGTTTTGCGAAAAATGTGCAATACAATATACGACCGAGATATCTCTGTATATTCGCCTCGCTAGGAAAGTAAAAAAGCTCAATATAAAAGCACGATGAAACAAAAGTGCCTACAATATCATACACAGAGAAATGTCACATGACAATGTAAATTGCAGCACTGTAAATTTACAGAATAAATTTGAAATTGCCCGTTGACACTTTTCGTGGACAAGTTATCTCGCTTATTGTTAGATCCATTGTTCGTTTATTGCTCGCGCTCGCTTGACATTGAATCTTAATGAATGGCTGAATTAATTTTAGAACTAAATCTAAATGTCGAATGTTAATTATTCATCCTTAAAACATCGAGCCGTTAGCAAACACAGGAAATTCGGTAGCTATTTTACTACATAAAAAACATATATATATTTCTAACATTATATGTTTTATGTTATAGAACGAGATGCTCGGCATGAATAATGACATTTCGTCGGACGTGGCGCGCACCAAGAGAATCGGTTCCCTGTCGATTGTAGACAACCTGGACGTTCTGAGGCAACGATACCTGTTGGAGTTGGCTCGCAGGAAGGCTCTGCAGGATCAACGGCAGGTTGGCGAGAACCGCCGCGTTCTCGAGTCCATCGGCAAGCGATCGGCACCAGGCGAATACGGATCCGATGACGCTGACAAGAACGTGAGACCCGGCACGAGGAATGGTCGCGACCGGAACGCAGCGTCCGACAGGATCGAGTGGTTCGAGGAGGATGTTCCGCTGTTTCGCGCGTCGCAGGACGATCGGATGGCCAGAGTATGAGCCGTATTTTTAGATTTTTCCTCTACCTTTAGCTTCGCCTCGCGGCAATCATTCGGATTAAACAAATTCGGCTCGGCGCTTCAACCGATGATATACGGCGTTATTGGTATCTGATATCGGTTTAGAATTTTGGTGTTGAACTTGGCTTCAAATTTGTATAACTTTGGATTTCTAAATCAACGAATAGCCAGGTATATTCCGAAAATGTCGAGCCGAATGTGTAAGGAATTAATCCTTTGATTTCCGATATTATATTTGATATATTGACTTTAAATGACATTAAATCTCATAATCGCTCATTTATTTATTTTATTTGGATCCAAGAATACTTGACCGCAGAAAGCATTCACGACGTAATAAAATGTAATAATAACGTTGATCTTTCAGGTGCAGGCTAATGAACTTCGCCTGTTGTAATGCCGCGACTCGACCTGCAAAAAGAAAAACTCCAGAGATCCGATATTTTAGCTTTGCCATATGCGACTTTTAATCGATCATTGTCATTGTTAAGTTATTCCGTCGATTTCGTCCTCTTTCAGTTTATTCATTCCCGTTTGACAAAACAGTCTGAATTCTGGCAGTTGCGTGACAGAGGTGAAAAATCGCTGAATTTCACAATTGACGATAAGCGCAAGAGTATTCTCATTGAAATCCAATCGAGAAATCGGAACGTTTTACACACACACATACGCAGTATTTGATTTCTCCTTACCATTATTGACTTTTTAGCGATTAATTTATTGAATTAGTTTTGGATTTATCTCTGAAGCTAAGAGGAACGCGAGAATCGCGATTGCATCGTTCGAAGAGATACGACGACGAGATGTAATAGATTTGACTATCGCGCGTAACGTTCCAAAGAATCGTACAAAGGTCTAAGCTTTATGTAAACTCCTTTACTTCCGTCTCTTTCTATGTCTAGCTTCTTCGGACACGGAGGAAGGCGTAACGAAGCAGTATTATGCATTGTGATTTTGTCTAAGCTCTTCTATATATTGCAGAGAATACCTGATATCCCCGATCCTTAGCATGTGTATTTAATTATCGCGTTCGCGCAACATTTATTGATAAATCTGTGCGGAGGGGAAAACGAGGGCACGAGAGTTGATTAAAACTTGCGACTTCACTTCTCTTGTCAACTAATAGATGTACAAATGTATTCGTTCGTTGTATCGATAGTTACCGCCTCTCGTGCGATACCCAGCGTCGATCGTTGGGCGCGCGCGAGGCAAATCTCACTTGTGTGTACCTGCAGTTTTTGCAACTCTGAAGTCTATTTTCTGCTAGTATGCTAATCAAAGAAGCTATCCGCAAAAGATAAGAATCGAATCTTGTGAGAGGATCCGGAACTCAGATATACTGTTAATGTTGAGAAGACGACTAATAACGCGATAAGATTTCCATAAGTACAATAGATGTATCCTACACGCACATTAATTTAGAAATAGTTTTACGCATATATCTCGTTCGCTTTTTGTTTCGTTTTAATATTATCGATTATTACTATGATTGTTTCGTCTTGTCGCAATTATATATTTATTCCTGTACCATAACAAGAGTACAAAGACAGAGCGATTACCATTTGCGCAAAAAAAGAAAAACACGAATGTCCATCGTAATGCGTGAGATTTGAAGGCCTCGCGAAAAATGCGACAGATAAAATGTGTATACGTATTATTAATATGCTTATTTAATTTAAGTTCACGCGATCGTGCCATAAGATCATTTTCACTTGTAATTGTTTCAGTGCATTTTTCGGGAAATCTAAAAAAAAAAAACAAAAAACCGATGTAGTTTTAAATCTTTCAATAATGTCTATCAATGTTAGAACCTAGAACCTAGTTAGACTTCTTTAGAATCTTTTTTATTATTAAAAGCGTTAATTTGTATAATATAAAATTTGTCAAGAATGATGAATGAATATATAGTAGAACCTCTGTATTTTCGCAGCCCTTGTTTCCATATTTTCAAACACTTTCTCCTCTTGCACCGCTCTTCCATGAAATAGCGGTGGAGCGGCGGGGTGGTGAAGTCATTGGAAATATAGAGGTAAACTATATGGAGATTCGGCTGCATGTGTATATTGTATTGATTTTATAGCGATAGATAATTATTTATTTAAAGGATAATTAAAAGCAAAACACATAATTTTCCTATGTATAGATCATCGCCTATTATCTCGTTACGAGAGATGTTGAGTTGATAATAACAGATGAAGTTTGAGTTGCCTGATGACGTAATTAATAAATTTTATTTGGAGTAAGCCATCAATGGGTATCCTCAATGGGTATATTCCTCGTGCGTTATAAAAAGGAAAAAGGTTTATTTCTATTTTCTAAATTGAATACTATTACACTTATACAACTGGAATAATAGAATACTCCAGTCACTTTTAACGAATGAAGATAGCAATTCATTTCTCTGTAGATACAAAGTCTGTTGACCTGTATAGAGTCACACTGACAATGAGTGTGTCCCTTACAGTGTGTCGTCATTAAAAATATTATCGATATACATTTCTCTTCCTCGTTTCTAAAGAGACGTTAACACTTTCGCGGCCGCTCACGTATTTTTACTTCGGTTTTATACTGCGGTATAAATCAGGAGCCGGTCACGTAATTTTACGTTCACTGTTTTCTGCATCATTGTATCAGGTTGTGTAATATGAAATATCGGATATTTTACATCAGTTCAATATAATAGAGCAGCTCCAAGCGTCGAGCAGAGCCGAATATATAACGGTCGCGAAACTGTTAAGGGAATGATTCACAAAAATTCGTTCTCATATTAAAGATCATGTGCGCATTATTAAACATCTTTCTTTAACACCTAGTTTTTAAGACTTTTTTTCTCTTGTACCATTCATATATAATAGCATGACTCATATAAATACATGTTCGAAGGAAAACTACAAGAATACTTAAATGCTTATATAGGACAACTCAAAACTATTGAATAACATTTCAGAAATATATTTCTTGTCGAATTTTGTTTACGTAATCTACGTAACTTAGTCTAGAATCTTATTATTACAAAAAAATTATAAATGTCGCTGATCATTTAATAAATAAAACTCCGTCCGTATATTTGCACTTTCCAAAAATAATTCGTGAAAAAAGGTTTTTCATGAATTATGAATCATCCCACATGTAAAAGTGAGTATATACTAAGCAAATGAACAGTGAATGCAAATGAACAGTTGTAAATTTTTACTGTTAAAATGCAGAAAATGTATATGTCATACTAAATGTCGTGCGAATTAACCAATTCAATTCATATTCGGAGTGATTCGTTCATAAAATGCAATATTAACAAAAGTTTATACGTAATGTGAATGAAAATATTGTGCATTTACTGTTGGCTTTCCATTTGCTAGGGCTTCATTTTCTATCATGCGCAATGTCAGCACATCGAAATCGTCGTTTTTCTTTTCTCCCTTCAAGCCATTAATTACAATAAATCTGCTTACAGTAATCATTGCATTGGTTGTATTGCATTTGACATTTTCACATTCACTACGTACATGCGAATGTACGGAAAGAAACGAGCAAGCAATGAATACAATCCAAATTCATTATTTTTCTCAGAGTATATACCTGTATATACCTGTATGTACCCAGTTTACTGTTAAAGCAAAATAATATGATAAAAAAGTTATGAGTAATATAATTTCGGGTAACTTAACTCTGTTGCGACGAACTTGCCGAATTGATGGAAAATAAGTTCTATGACGTGACCATGATCATAGCTTACGTAGGTCAAGAACGAATACACTGCCGTCAGATGCTGATGCACCGACTTTGTCGCCGCGACTATTCCAGCAAACCTCGAAGATGCCGCCTGTACCTTTGTAACTGTGCACCAACTGACCGCTCTGTTCGGATGAAAAAAATTATTTAGTTAGAAAATGATTGTTTCCTAAAGATTTGAGAAACAGATAAAATAGCTAATCGTTACTGTTTATTAATTTACAAAAAGGAAGTTTTCGGTATATCTTACCGAATATTAATCTTACGATTCACATTAATTATTAATTTCTTATCGCATTAGTTTATCGAGCACAAAAATAACGCGAGGAAAAGTTCAACATAATTTTTCGTCTGCGATATCATAATTCGATAAGCTTGCACAAAAATCATGATACTCACCTGAGTGGACCATATGTGTACGCATTTGTCAAAACTGCCGCTAGCAAGAAACTTGCCATCCGGACTGAATGCTACACTGTAAACTGGTTCAGTGTGCTTCGTCAGCGTATGTATGCATACGCCCCTTTCGACGTCCCACAATCTAACTGTCGAATCAAAAGAGGCACTAGCTAATGTTAGATTCATATTTGGATTGTGTGTTCCCGGACCAGTCGGCGACCATTTGATCGTGTAGATTTCTTTGCTGTGAGCTTGCAGATCGTGTACCCACGTATCTTGCTTCATAGACCATATTTTTAGACTCATATCATCTGAACAACTAGCCAATAGATTTCCTTGCGGATCCCATTTAATTGCATTAACTTCATTCTGCAAAATGCAAAAAAAAACGAGATAAGCGGGAATGAAAGAAGGAGCATACCTTATATTTGATTAAATCGCAAAAAGTTCCAAGATAATGTATACGCACCGTGTGTCCCTGGAAGCTCTTAATGGGCTTATCAACGTTGAGTTTGCATACATGTATGCACTGATCGGTGGAGCAACTAGCAAAAGATGTATTTGTTTGCCAGTCGACATCTAAGGCGGGCGCACAGTGGAAACTGAACTGTTGCGTACATTGTCCGCTCTCAGCGTCCCAAATAATGGTAGTTTTATCAACTCCGGCGCTTAGAATATAGTTACCACGCTTATTCCATTTCAATGCAAAGATCGGACCTTTGTGCTGACCTAACGTGGACGCTAAGCGTCCGTCGGTTGTCCAAATGCGAGCGTATCCATCGTAACTTCCAGTCGCAAGTAACGTGCCGTCGCACTGTAAAGAAGATTGAATGCATTTCACACTTTGCATCTAACAATGCGATAAGGTAAAAATGCATTCTTCGCACCTTCCAGTCAAGTGATGTAACATCCTTATTGCTCGGCACTTCAGTTCCACCTTTCTGTATACAGTGGCGTAGAACAAGCTGATTGGGCGCTTGCGAATTATCCGACATGTCCCAGATACGAGCAGTGCTGTCACCTGAACCAGACGCTAGCAGGTCGGTTGTTGGATTCCAAGCACAGATAAATACCTCTGATTCATGACCGCGTAATTTTGTAGCTTTACTAGCGGGAATCTCTACCGCGCTGGCATTCGACCCAGCATTGGCTCCAGTTGCTGGTTCATCGATTTCCATCTCCGCTGCTCTGTCTCCACCTCGATCATTATTACTTATACCTTCGTTGTTTGCAACAACTGAGAAGAAATAGAACATCTTGTTATTTCATAGTTTATTCTGTAGTATTTTTCTATAATAAAAAAGAATCTCTCTTTTCATGTTTTATTGTTACAAATAGTGAACAAGAGTTTGAGATTGTTTGCCACTAGTTGACGGACAGATTGATAATGAATTGTATTCTGTCATCTCTGATTATAACCCGGTGATAAAAATGTGTTTAAAATTCTTATCATCGCGTTTGACAAAAGTGACATGTTATGCAACTCGCAATATGACCGTAATCTAAGGCTGCCTGATTTATCTGCCTGGTTGTTAAGGAGATCTGAAATAAACTTCCATCTTTCAGACCAGGGTGTACCAGGTTCTTGGCAGTATGCGTTACTTTGTTATCTGATTTCAGTTTCTTAATTGTTAATTTAGTCTTTTTAATCTTTGTGCTTATGTTTTATAAATATGTACTGAATAGATTACCTTCCTCGCCATTTGTGTCCTGGCCTTCACTTTTCACCTGTTGTTTTTGTTGATTAATTTGATTCTGCCGTGTTGCAACAACGTCAGGCATAACAGCATCAATAAGTGATAAAGATTCCACCATTCTATGTTCAGTGCCATCATCGCCAATGGATATTTCTGCTTCTGTATATTGTAATCCTTTCTGAAGTATGGACAAGAGTGCTGCAGGTGGCACTAAAGCACCATTAATATTGCTTTGTGATATATGTGACTCTATGCCAAATGTATATGCAGAATGTTGAAAACCTGAAAGAAAAATCAGAAAACAATACCATTAAAACAATAACAAATTGTTATATGTAGATAATGACGAACAACTTGGAACTTTGTGAAACTCAAACTCACAATTAATTTGGTACTTAAAGTACACATAAAATATTATAAAATATTAACAAAACAAAGCAAAAAAGTAATTTATATACTAGCCATTTAAAAAAATTAAATATAATTATTGATTATAAATTGAGTGATTATTTGTTTGCTTACAGAAATTAAATTTTATTTTAATAAGTAAAACATAAAAATAATGTTTTCAACAGCGCTATTTTGATCCAGGATACAGAGTCGATAAGTAAATCTTGCAAACTGTAATCGCAATTTCGATTCAGTAATATTTTGCATCAATAAATTTCTTGCATTATTGCATTATTAGATATACTTCGTCATTGAATCGACTCATTCATCGGTGAATGAGGAGCGTTAAAACCATACTAAGTTCTCACCGCATAAGTGAAATGGAAAAAATGCCTTTTTTCACGTTGATGTTTGACGCTCAATTTCAGCGTTAGAAGATATCACGTAACCAATAATAACCCACCATTGCAGTAGTTTTTGATTACGCGATGTATTTTAGCGCTAAAATTAAGCGTCGAACGTCAGTGTGAAAAAGCATCTAAACAAAACGAGTCAGCGGCATCCATCGAGCGTAAAGTTTATAGGTTATAAACGAACTCTTCGTACCGGATTCCTGTAGGTATCGATAGACCAAGAAGTTGACCTCATCACTAGAGAAGCTCATCGTGCTTGACATTCACGGCTAGCACATATTCACGTTGACGATTGCGTCGTGGACTTTCTTTCCAATTCACTCCAGCGATCAAATTTTCGCCGTCAAGAATATCAGCACTGTTTGCCGCGCCGAAACCAAACCCGTTTCGCGAACGTTGAGGTCATGGTCAGAAATATGCTGGATTCACACTAAGTCCGATTTCCGACTACGATGTCCGATATCCAATAAGAAAGATTGTTTTATATAAAACAATCTTTCTTATTGGATATTGGACGTCATACGTCGGAAATTGGACCCAGTGTGAATCCAGCAATAGAGAAAGTGCGGCAACGACAGAAATTGTGTGCGTGCTACCATTGGTCACTATCAGAGGATACGGTTGAGTAATAGCCTATAAAAAAATTAATCTGTTGGTAGCTCTAGAAGTATACACCAATCACATTGCGATGGTGTTTAGTAAACTCAATTGCAAAACCGTTGTAGAACCGTTATAAAGTACGTAATAAAATTAAAGGACGCGATTGGGCGTTCTTTGATATCTCAATAGCCAAAGAACGCCTAATCGCGTTCACAAAAAAAATTTGCAGAACGCAACTGGGCGTTCTTTGGCTGTTGAGAATATCAAAGAACGTGATTAGGCGTTCTTTGACCCTTGAAAAAATTAGTGGTCGCGATGAGACGATCAGATCTATTATTATTATTAATTACAATTACAATAATATATAGATATAAAGTGCGCGTTCACCTCTAACTCTTCACTTTTAGTTTGTTATTTTCAGGTACACGATATGGTGGCACTTTTGTTGTCCCCCCCCCCCCTTTTCTAGACTGAGTTATGACTCCCTAAGCGAACAGAGAGAAGTAAGGAGAGAGGAAAAGAGAGTAAGAGACAGAGAGAGAGAGAGAGAGAAATTGTAAATGGTTGTCAACAAGCAGCTTTTCAAGTTTCAAGTATTCCGCGATTAAACGAGAGAACTGTATCAAATAATCCGCGCGTCGAATCATAATCTACGCTTTCTTTCTCTAATGCATGTACGTACCTGGAGAATAAACCGCGTGGCGTGTCGAGAAGTGCCAAAGTGAGCGCAACAGGGTGGAAACTGTCAAAACGAGTTTTTTCCATCCGCTCGTTCAGGAACGCAGACTTTGATGAATGTCTGAGAGTGATTACGATTCCGCAAACGAGTACACAAGCCTGATGGACGGTCACGTCGAGTCTCGCACGGATGACGTGATCCTGGGCAATGAGCATCGCCGTAAGGGTCGGTCTAGGAACACCAGCGAAGAAGTAACTTTTTACACTACTTTATTATTTTTTCTTTCCTTGTATTTTTTTTCAATTTTACACATTAAATTTCTAACGAGGCAAGTCTTAAAGCACTGCCGCTAAAAGTAGTCCCTCCGACAATTATTACACGCAACACTTCTTGCAGGTGGAAAATGGGGTACCCGAAGTGCATATTGAATCACCAGACACGTCTATAGAACGATCGAACAGACGAGGCACGTCCGGTAGCAATAATCAAAATAGACAGGCACGCCAGGCGGAGGAACTGGAATTGTTATACGGCGCAGGGCATGTGATAAAACTCTTTGTCCCTGTCTCGCTGTGTATGCTGGTTGTAGTTGCTACTATTAGCTCGGTGAACTTCTATACGACTAAGGGAATGTACTTGTAAGTTTCACACCTTTGACGATATACTCTTAGTAGCTACGTTGTTTGAATGAGAATTTATAACAGTAATGATTTTTAGAGTATACACTCCTTTTCACGAGGATACCACTGACACGAGTACCAAAGTTTGGCAAGCATTTGCCAACTCGCTGATTCTCATGAGTGTCATTGTATTTATGACTGTGATACTGATCCTTCTTTATAAGTACAGATTTTACAGAATCATACACGGATGGTTGATGATAAGCTCTTTGCTACTGCTTTCAATGTTTTCCCTTCTATTTTGCGAGTAAGTTTTAAAATACACCAACTAAATCTGTAAAATGTTCTGTCGATGAATACATGAATGTTATATTAAGTAACAAGGGCTAAAACAAAAGGTTTGCACTTGCAGGCAAGTACTGAAAGCTTACAACATTCCGATGGACTTCTTCACAATAGGTATAGGTTTATGGAATTTCGGCGCAGTTGGAATGATTACTATTCATTGGTGGGGGCCGCTGCAACTTCAACAAGCATATTTAATCTTTATTTCTGCTTTAATGGCGCTCGTTTTCATTAAGTATTTACCAGAATGGACGGCATGGGTTGTACTTGGCGTTATAAGCATCTGGGGTAAGACATTTTTGAGATGGATATTTGTGTAAGGGAAATAGAAACAATTTTATAATCTTCTCAATTGGATATAGATTTGATTGCGGTGTTGACGCCCAAAGGCCCGCTACGAATACTCGTGGAAACGGCGCAGGAACGAAATGAATCTATTTTCCCTGCTCTAATATATTCTTCCACCATCTTGTACTCATTCACTGTGACTTACGCTGGATATGTACAAGCGGCTACGATGGCGTCTGGAGACACCGCGGTGTCTCCCACGCGTGATCAAACGGACAATCAAAATAATCGCGAGGAAGAGGGTGGTTTCACCCCTGAATGGGTGGAAACACACGGTACGGATCAAACGTTAAGAAAATTTCCATTGAAGGAAACTAATTGACAAAGTTGAAATAATGTCAGAGTTATGCAAATCAAATTATTATTCGATTTGCCGTTGGTCTAGTCTAGAAAAAAAAAAATAAAAAATAAATTTCACTTAGGTGAACGTAGCGCAAGGCGCGCCCAAGAACTGCGGGAAAACTCGACTACATTGGTAGAGGACGCAAGGCAACAAGAGAATCGCCCGCAAGAACCGCAAAATGCCGAGGACGAGGAACGCCAAATCGCCGAGGAAACGCGTCGAATCGGCTCGGAGGAGCGCGGGGTTAAACTAGGACTTGGCGATTTCATATTCTACAGCGTACTTGTCGGAAAGGCGTCCAGCTACGGAGACTGGAACACTACGTTGGCTTGCTTCGTCGCTATTCTCATCGTACGTATCTTTATCGAAACGAATACTAACACGAAACTTTTTCTCAATAAATCGTTTCTACGTGTTGCAGGGCCTGTGCTTGACGTTGCTGTTGCTGGCCATGATTAAGAAAGCGCTGCCCGCGTTACCGATTTCCATCACATTCGGACTGACGTTTTACTTCGCCACGCGAGTATTCGTCGCGCCGTTCGCGGACAGCTTGGCGAGCGAACAAGTGTTCATTTAAATCTATATTTATAACAAATATTCTTATTATTTAGTATAATTTATTGCAGGAATATCGAAGGAAAAATGCTAATTTACTTACCCGTTCAATATCTGTCCCATCACTTCATTCGGGAATCCGATTTTTCCTTCGAATACACGCGCATTCGTTTACGCGACTTTTTGAATTACAAGAATCAAGAGACGGAGAGTACCTACATTTCGTAATCTTTAGATATTCCTGAGAGAATTGTACATCAAATATATATTACGAAACGCTCAGAAAAAAAAGAAGGAAAAAACGATTTAAATTTGTAATATAGCGAGACAGAATATGGAGAGAATGTTAGAAGATGTAGTTACTTAGTATTTTTCTATGCGAAGCATTTCACCAATATATGCGCCTCGTCCTGAAATCACGGAGATACGTTTTGTCGCGGCGATACATAACAAGAGGCCGGATGCATTATAACAATTTATTGTACTCCATTGTTACATTTACCGAACATAAGTCTCAATTAGATTCGAGTATAAAAAAAGCGGATGACGACGATGGATCGCTCTTCTCGCACGGTGAATCGTATGAAATGTGAGGTAATGTCCGTTCGAATAAGTAATAACTGCCTCAATTGTACACACCTCGATTAATACGCGATACGCACCTCTCAAACGGTGTTGCGTTATGCTATAGAGCGCCAAGTTTACTACTAACTACTTAGCCAGGTTGATTCCTCGGGGTTTCCTCGAGTCCGATTACACACAGCCATGGAATAAATACTTTTTATCGTACTACAGAGAAGCGTGTTTATCGTATTTGTGTGGCGCTTAGTATTTATAGATTTTTAACGTACTGAATAATAGCGAATTTTCGCGAAGCTAATTACTTTTTGTTTTCGTCGCGTCTCTTGATATGTAACTTTGAGAAAGCATTTTATATATTATCCCAAACGAAACTCTTGCCGATAAACAAAAACAAAAAAACGTTTTTGGTAAACTTTAATACTTTTTAATTGCACATAGACCGATCAATTTGACCGATCGTCATTTTTAGCAATACCATAACGCATTTTCGAAATCGATAATTATGTAATCGTGTATAATCGTATGTGATCAAGCTTTGGTTCAATAATATTTCAAATAAATGCTGAAAATTGTGTAACGACTCCAACTTTAACGATGGTCTGTTGATTCCTCGCACACTACACATTTATGCAACATATACTATAATATACTATGTATATATATATATATATATATATGTATGTATATATATATATATAGATCCCCGGAACCGGAAGAACTTTAACAGCGATATGATGTAACTCTTACGCTTGTAACACACCGCTATCTTTTACAAGCTGATAATTATGCTAATGGAAAGTGGTTCTTTCAGTCGATTCCGCTACTTCGAGTCGCGCGCGTACAAAACGTTACTTCGGCGCATTAAAATAAATACTCTCCGGCTATAGCATAAGCGAACTACATGCGAAGTTATAATCATCGTGGCTGACGGATCCGTTTTACCACGATTTCAATTTACAATAACGCTCGTTTTATTTTTGTGCTAGTTAACGTAACCAGAATTATAATCAACTACATCGACTATACGATTCGACTATATCGAAGGAAGGTACACTTCGTGATTGTGAATTCTATCGGGAGAAAAAGACATTAGGAAAATATCTGTAAAAGAAAAAATAAATCGCTATGACGCGATATGTTTTTCGTCTCTCCAACCGCCTGATTTCCTCTTTCTGTCTCTTTCATAAAGAATATATCACGTTGCTTTTCCCGTTAATGTTCCCATGCAGGCTTGTTCTCGCGTACGAGACAATATTAGTGAGGAACATTCGTCTCTTAAAACCAGTCTTACGATCGCTAAAATTTCTGGAAGCATATAGTTTTGTGATGACTAAAGATTTATGCAGAACAAGCCACCTGATATTTGTAACTCGATTATTAATAAATAGTTTGCAGCGAATTTAAACTCGTCAATCTTACGGAAAGAAAATTACAGTCTTGTCGTTGATATTCAAATTATCGAGTGAAAGGAATGCAGGAATCAAATGACTTTGTACTTCTCCGTAAAAGCAAAACGGATAAAGATGTTAAAACTTAAAATATTAAAATTGAAAAAATAATACAATAATATATATAATATATATAATTTATATAATCGATAACGCACCGCATACGGCGCGGAAAAAATTTGAGAGTCAAGTGATCCTTCTTGCGAGTGTGACTTCCCGTAAAATCGATGGTTTAAGAAATATGATACAAACGTTACGGACTCGCTCTGTATAAATGCCGCTGTCACGATTGTTGCTACATTGATATCTCTTCCGCTCTAGCTGCTGCACATTCTTATAAATAAAAAACGAAATATGAAAAAATATAATGAATTACAAATGTCTGTCACATACTCGTTCGAACTCTCGCTCGTTCTTTCGGCATTCGCAAGGATGAGAATTGCAACGATAGTATCTTAGCTAGTCCCGTATTTGCTGCTCTCAAACATACCGCGTCTGAAGAACGAGCTGAATTCAAGCAGGGATTGTTTATCTATGTTGCTAAGATTGCCGTTGTGTTTATATAGAGGCTCGCAGTGCGGCAGCTCCGAGCAAACTTGAATTAATTGGCGAAGATATTCTTCGAGGCGTTTCCGGCGTTGCCTAGCCACTACTTCATACCTTGGAAAGACTTGGCGGGGAGGAAAGCGTATTGCTGCAACCTGTGTGTGATCAAAGAACCTTCGTAAGATCGAACTTGCATTTCAAATGCGAGCTCGCGATCCGGAAAGTGCTTTTTGTTTTGAAACAATTACACTTTTAAATAATCATTTTCTTTAACTTTTTAGAAAATCGTATTTTAAAAGATTGAATAGAACTGTTTAAAAATACACTTGAACATTGAAATTGAAAGAAAATATCTCCAAAATCTAGACATACTCGAGTGTGCTATATTAATCGTTGTCTAATGTTTCTATTATACAATTTTCATAATTACACGATATAGTGAAGAGATAACGTACCTTGCTACCGTATTTCTGTCGCATCGACACATACAACTCCCGGAATCTCCTGTATCTACGTAGCAGTGTCCAGGTGTCGTCCTGCGCCACGACTCGCACTTCGTACTCGTAGTGGCTGGACGCGCCGGCGCCGCGTATCACATACGACGGTACACTAACAATTATGTTGATCACGCTATCGCAATCACCATCGTTCCCTATCAATGATGGTAGAGATCTCGTGATCGTCAGTGAGTACGGACTGCTCAAGCGATCGCCGCGATTTTGGCTCTGAAAGGAAGCGGATCTGCATTTGAAATCTTCGCGGTAATCACTCGAGACGAAGAGATGGCAAACGAGTAACTTACTGTTAGATAAACGGTCGAGTACCCGCGACTGGAGGATCTCTTGGACGCTAACGATTCCGACAAAGTCTCTTGATCGTTAACATTAGGCCTGTTATTCCTGAAAAGTTGAGATCTGGGTTGCGCTACCGTTAATAGAATGGCGGAACTATTATTCGTAGGTTCTACAACACTACAGTAAGCATTTGGTTCTTTCTGTACATAGTCCTCGGTCTCGCTGACGACGAGCCTATCGTCGCCGTCGTCGACGTCGCCGCACTGGAGTTGCCTGCTGGTCGAGTGGCTTTTCCGCTCGTCCTCCAGCAGCGACACCTCCAGTTCGATCTGCTGCTTCTGCAGATCCTGCAGTATCATTATCTGCCGATTGAGATCCTCCTTCGACGGGGTGCCCGCGTCCAGGCATCTCATCACCATCATCCGCTGGCGCGCGATTCTTTGGTTCAGCCGCCTCATCGCCGGATTCTGCTGTATCGGCGACTCCAGCGAATCTTGAAGCATGCTCTCCGGAATTGTGGACACCGCGGTCGGCTGCTTCCCCTCCTCGTCGCTCGTCCCTTCACCGATATTATTCATTCCTTGGGACGAGATTTTATTATCCTCCGAGTTCTCGCAGGGTCCGTTTCTCGCAGAATTATTCATCCGCAACGTGTCGGCATTCTCGAAGACCAGGCGAGGCTCCGGAGAATCAGCCGCCGCTGTGTGGAACGTCTCGGCAGTGTCGGAGCTCGGTATGCTCTGCGGCAACAGACTCAAGGCCGTGGCGATCTGGAACTTTCTGTTGCTCGCTTCCTGGAAGGACGTCGAGTCGCAGCTGGTGCTCGGTTCGTTGCAGCCATTCGACGAACCCGGCGACGCGGGTAGAACGCGCTTCAAGTCCAGCGACAGACTCTGCTTCCGCCGTTCGATCTCATCAAGCTGATCCTGGCTTCGTCTAGCCAACCACAACTTTTTCTCCGCCCCTTCGCCCGTCATCTAAAAATCATAAGCGTGAGTGAGTGTTTCGCACGTTGATTTATCCCATCGCCTACGTACTTCTGCCTTGAATATCTGCTTCTGCCTCTTCGCGATCTCTATCAGTTCCTCTTCCATCTTGTCCACTTTACTTTGATGTTCGTTCAGAGACTTGACCTTGCTCTGCAACTCGTTTTCTAAGGCAGCTAGTTCTTTCTTCTATTTAGAAAGATTATTCTTTTTTTAGAAAAAAAAAAAGCGATTGAGTAAAATCCCGCAGAGATGTTGACGTGTGTACTTACGTGATGATTGACCAATTCTCTGACACTATCGATGCACTTTTCGTCGTTGAGACTAGACCACGATTCGGGCAGACTACCGTCACTACCGGTGCCGTTATCCGTCTGAAATATACATCTCTGCTTCACTTTCTACAGACTTGCGCGTATCGAATCACATTGAGATAAAATACGTGACTTTTCAATCCATTTTAGAGAGTCTATAATAGAATCCTATTTATAATTTTATCAGAACATTCATAATACATGAGACACCGGTGATATATTTTTGTATATATGTGCCTTATGAGTCTCCAAGTGCTTTCTGATATAAATAATTTATTAAAATTATAAATAGGTTTCTATCTGATTTCTGCGTCGAAAGATCGACCTTTGACATTTGCACACAATCTCTATAATAGAAATATTTTATTCCGTTTCATTTATATTACTGATCGCAACAAAAATAAAGCACTATCAAAAGAAAATGTCACTCTATTCACTATATAATTAATTATGAAGGGAAACTATACGAATATGGTGCGAGTATGCGGCGCCGCATCATTTGCAATATGCGTGCGTGTCACAAAGAAATTCGTGTCTCTCCGCGATGTCGTCCTCACCTTCTCACATCGATGCTGATAAGTTTGCGCACGTTCGTGACTGTTGGCGAGCTCTTGTAGCTGTCGATGCTTGGACTGCAATAATGTGCGCAGATAGGCGACTTCCCTACACATATTTTCTACCTGGTACCACACACATACACATCGATGCGTTAACAAAAGATATAATTAACAAAAAGATAATTCAAAATTAAACGTAATTAATATGTCTCTAAATGTAGATAAAAAAAAACTAAATCTATGTAGAATAAAGCAATCATAGCTGTTGAAAATAGATGAGAATCAAAGAAATGTATTTCCGTGTAAAAATTTTTATGATGCATAAAAATCTCTTTTAATGCTGGAACAATACTTTTAACGATGATATAAATATCAATGCAAATATAATCACTAATTTTACCTTTGCGCACAGTTTGATGAAGTTGATAACTGTTAAGACAACTTGTATGAAATAAATAGATAACAAAGTGAATAAAATAGCGAATGCAATTTTGACGTTACATTACCTCGAGAAAATGATAAGTTTTCCTCAACCTACTGGCAGTGCACATGCGGACGAATCCCCAGGTGCGACGGCAACGAGTTAACGTGAAATTGGGTTTGTTAATCGGGAGCGTGTTAAATCAATTGAATGCATTCTCTTAAAATTACATGAAAAACAGAGACAGAAAGAGAGAGAAAGATAAAACGGTGAGAGAGTGCGTGCAAAAATATTTCGTGGAGGATCAAACGCCAATTTTCGTACGAAAAATTTATTAATCAACAATATATCAGTATAACAATAATTAGTTTCTCTATAATCTCCATATCTCGCATAACAAACCCATAGACGTATCTCTATACAAACAAGCCCAAGATATGTACATATACTTCATTCTTAACGTCCTCTACTAGGTACTTAAGTATACAACATTCCAGGGAATGCCATCTGTCCGGCAATATCTCTTCAGCACTAGCACTTTTCTTTTCGGCGGCTTACCCACATACATTAAACGTGTAAACACGCAATTTGCTAACATAAATCATTTGTAAGTATTAACATGTTAATTGTAGGCGCAATATATCTCGAGATTTCTGAGGCCGACAGAGGAATCAAGTGATAATCTCATATAGACAATCTTGGATGGAAGAAAATCTTCCCTACGGGATGATTACACACATTGATAGGCCTGGACGAGACATCAACAGACGATACCGTGTATTTTAATCACAAGAATTTTGGTCTGATATTAAAATGTCGTCTTTCACAAGTAGACAGTCGTACTAACGTACTCGCAGATATAGTGTGAATCTTACATGTGAAGCGAGAACGAGACTTGACCGACGGAAAGCTATCACATGTTCAACGGACAAACGTGCGAGTAGATGATGATGTTGCCAGACAAGCAAATAAGGACACCGATAGCGACAAGGACGAGGTAGAATTGGTACTTGATCGAGATTACATTCAAGTCCGGAGACGGAGGCGCGTCCGAGTCACTTACTTGCGTCATTTCGTCCCGTCGCTCTTGCTCCAGGAGATGCCGGCGCGCGCGCAGCTCGCGTTGACGCGACTCCAGCGTCGTAATCGCGTCCGCCCATTCCTTCCACTGCGCGCCCCATTCGCGCTCCAGCTCGCGCTGGGCACCCTCCAGCGCTTCCCTCCTCGCGGCCCACCTCTCCTCGCGCTCCTCTTGTTCCCTCTGTGCGGAGAAACATATAGTTATCGCAGAAATCCCGTAAAGAAAGATACTCGGGAAATCATTGAGCACTCTCTCTTTCACAAACCTTGAAATCTTCCTTTTCTTTCAAAAGCGCGGCCTTCTGCTGTTCGAGTTCCTCGGCCGCTCTGAGATCTTCGCTCGAGTTCAACAGATTGTCGCTGGAGCATGAAACGTGCAGATCGGAGACACTCCAGCTCAAGAGCGACAATCTCGACAGATTGACGACCGTCGACTGCAGATTACCGTTGCCTGAGCCGCCCTCCTTCCGGAGTTTCGCCGCCTCGGCTGGATCGTTGTATCGGAACATATTGTTCCTGCCTAAGAGGATAATACAGCCTTGCGATAGTCTTGTCGGCTTGTCTACCTGGGCAGTATTGATCCAGCAGTGGGATGAGAGCGGATGCAACGTCGCTACGCCGCTGTCCAACTCGACCACGCAGTGTTCCGGTTCCACATCGACACCGGTCAACACAATATCCTGTTTGTCATAATACAATAAGCGCTTTTAATACTTCATATTGTTAATAATTAATTAAAATCCGATTTCTAACTTAAATCTTATTTTTGTTGATTTTGATGAAAGCGATGGCAGTTTCAAAAAATTAGCTGTCCACAATTTTTTAAAAGTTCAATTAATAAAATTATCCATAAACTCTTAATCATCTCTTAATCATCTGTATCAATATTTATTTAAGACAATTATATAATTTGTTACCTGAATCACAGGAGCTTCCTCAGTTCCGACTAGCGTTTTTCCTTCCTTCAAGTGATACAACGTGACGCCGGTACTGAGCAGATCGTCGTCGATGCCAACCAGATGCGGCATTTCCGAGTCGAGAACGACACCGACTCCGCTTTTTCGTAGTCCCAGCGCTTTTTGCTCTTGCAGAATTTGTTGCGTCTCCCGCCACTTTTCGGTCCATTCCTCCGTCAGTACTTTCTCTTGTTCTTGCTTCTCTTGGATTTGAGCCAATAACACTTGTGGCGGCCTTTCTACGCTCTATAAACAACAAATAAATGTACTTTTTCTTTAAACAGTAATAGGAGAGCTTGAGAACAACGTGGCGGAACTTGTCGAATACTTGCCATATTCTTATCAATAAGAGATTTCAACTTTTCTATCTCCGCTCGGAGCTCCCTGATAAGCTTCACGTTCGCGTCTTCGTTGATGGTCGGTTTATTGATAATATTTTTCGCGCGATTCGCATATCTGAGAGTGCTAAGAGTATCGTTGTAATTGCATTCCGCCGGACTGATAGTCGCTATCATGATAGTCTTGGAATTGCCGCCGAGGGAATCCTTCAGCAGCCATGTGAGCACGCTGTCCCGATAAGGGATAAACGCATTCCGCTTCGAGGCGGTCGAGATATCGCCGCCGCTGACGGAACTGAGTTCCGAGAGTGTGGATATCACAGTGCCTAAAGTCACCAAGGACTTGTTAATGTGCGCGCCTTCCTTCAGTCGCTGACCCGTCGCTCCAGTCGCGTTCGCACGTTCACTAAAGAAAGAAAGAGAGAGAACACCGATTTTAAGAACAATCGCATATCCGTCGCGGTGTTTTTATCTTGCTTTGTTTCGTTCTATTTCTTTCAGTTTTGCACGGACAGACAGACTCGAAAATAAACTCGGCTCGCGGATTGTGGTTTTTTTTTTCTTTTGCGGGACTACCTTCCGGCCAAGTCGACAAGGTGCACCTTGGAAACAGTCTCCGACGGCATGTTGCCTTCCGAGAGGCCGGCCTGTACGAAGGTTATCGTAAATATCGCGTGACTCCTGCTACTCACGTCGTTCATCTTTGTGCTGGCTGTAGTCCTGTGCGTATTACCTCTCACCATGCATTCCTGGAACAAAAGCAATCTCTTGTTAGCTCAATTTGCGACACAAAATATGTATATATATATATTATACATGCGCGACATTTATTTTACTAATTGAATAAGTTAATAATTACAATTACGATTTTCTATTGTTGCAATTTCGAGTCTGACGAGTCATCTCGATGCAATTTCTCGGCTCACCTGAATGTCCGAATAATCGTAGACGAGATGACATGATAGATCTTGGACGTAGGGCCCTCCCGTGGGATGTTCTCGTACCCTTAGCGAATGGGATTGGCTTTGGTCCAGTCTGAGCAGATCTCTTACTCTCTCGTTATAGATTTCTAGGAAAGATACTTCCGTTCTGTATGACGCCCCGCTCTCCTTTCCCGCTGCCATTCTAGCGAAGAGCGTCTTGCAGATTCGCGGTATCAATCCCTGAGACTCCTGTGACGCGAGACACATGCAATACATTATTAAATAAAAGAATGCGGAAAAAGTTTGATTGTAATCTGCAAAATAGATTTTTTTCTTCAATTTTGTAATTATTATTACAAAATTTATGACTCGACTAAATTTGAGAAAAAGCAATAACTTGTAATGCAGTGATCATTCTTGATACAATGTCAGAGTAAAATTCGATCTGTAATTTTTTCTAACAGACTAGTCAAAAAATCCTTTTAACAAATTGAGCAATTGCATTACCGGCGCGCCCATCATTGTAAAGGTCTTTCCGGATCCTGTCTGGCCGTAGGCAAAAACGCAGGCATTGTAGCCCTCAAAGGCACTTTCTATTACGTCCGTACCAAGACCGTAGAAAACCTAAATAAAGAGCAAAAATAACAGAAGAATTAGCGCCCTCTTTTTCTTTGAATGGACGAGCGATGTTTCGCTTCAACGATACGCGGAAACCAATTTTACCAGCATCGCTGTCGCCCAACGCTCAACCTTACCATAAAACGTGCCCGCGTGCAAACGCGTCACCCATTGGCGTAATGATCACGCACGAGCGTTTTACATAATGGCATTTAATTAAGTTGCGGCGCACACTAGTTTTACGTAATGATACAAACACGATATGAAAAGATTGTTACTGTGATCGCATATTGTACTTTAAACAGTAACAGAATTATTCGGTTTATACTCTACGCTGCTTCGACAGCTTCTTTTTATTCCTTAGGAAAAGAATCGTAACGTTCGCTGGAAATGTTTAAAGCTCCTGCTGCATCATTACGCGCAGTCGTTCAAATTGCACCGTCAGCAAGAACAATCTTACGACAATGGTGTTCGACACGCGATCTCGCAGCGTTTTATTTCCAATCGTGATTCACTATCGGCGCAACTGAACTAACTACAACGGGCTGTGCGAGTGCAAGATGATCGGATTAAACTTACCATGTGCAAAAAAAGGTTATCGTGAATATTTTTTCAACGCGTCTCAAGGTCGACTAATCTATGTTCAACTTCGGAAAATTTCGAGCAAATAATTTTTTTCAATTTGCTTCCCTTTGAGATAAGAAAAAATGGACACAAACCTCTTCCTGGGACGCATAATTGTCGTCGTTCGGGTCGAAGGACCAGTAGGAATGATCGAACGTGAAGTCTTTGTATTTTCCACGGTCGATATCTCTGCAGCTATCCGGTGTCTGTAAACAATAAAGTGACAACCGTTATTCGAGACAGCGTTGTTTCATTATCACTACACGCTAGTATTAAAGTTCAGTCATTATTAATCAAATTAAAGTCGAATGAATAGCAGCGGCTATTCTACCACAGATGAATGGCGATCGTGATTTAATACAAATAAATCGAACTATGTAAATTACATTAAATTATACTCACAATTGAATTGTATAAAATATTCCGAAACTCGTGGATGTAATTTTAACGACCCATTCTTTCTAATTTCGAAATCGATTTTTTTCTCAGCGAAAATGTCGAGGCATTGATATTATCGAGTAGTAAGCGATTGAAAAAGAACTCATAAATTAATTTTTAACGGGACAAATAAATTATATTCTCTAATTAATTTCTAGAAAATTTTATTTTTATCAAGTTTCAATTAAAATCTTACAATTGATTGATATATGTAAAGAATATTGAAAATTCAAAAGATGCAAAACTGTATATTTTGTGTTTAAATTCACTGTTTTTTAGCTACTCTCTTGAAAATGTCTTTCTTTATTTCCATAAAGCTATCGTCCTTTAAATCGTCTAACTTGCGATTATTTGCAAGATATGGTGAAACAGTGATCACGATGTGACGTCTACATTCTTCCAGCTGTGTTCTACATAATTGATGAAACAATCGGTGGGAACATCGCGCTGCATTATGCAAGGAAACGAGTGATGATTAAAGGGTAAAGCGATTAAAAAGTAAAATCAGCGCAATTTTCACGTCAATCTTTCTTTTGCAATTTTGCTACTTTATTAACTTTCTGCAGCGAATGCACGCGCGCGGTATGATCAAAAAGCGATCCATTAATTTGCAATGCATACATATGCAAATTTTTGGACGTCACAGCAACGCACATGTAAAGCTGAAAAATTAACTATCTATGCATTTTTCATAAATCTTGGTAAATCTGACTAGTTAGTGTTTAAAAAGTACAATCATAAATTTTTATTTTTACACGCCTAAAAAATATATAATATATAATTTTTTAAATATTTTTCATATGAGCCCATGTTTCAATACTCATCGTATACAGTTCAAAAGTTAACTGTATTATTAATTCGCGAAAAGCAATTAACTCGACTTTTATCATACTCGATTAAGCGCGTTTTCGCCGACCAAGATTACGCTTTAATTCGCATTCGCCGGAATTTTTCTCGGCGAATAAGCGATTATTCTACGACAGAATTGGCCTTCTCTTTTGATTAGAAAAAAAAAGCGCTCATGCGGATAAGAATTAATTGAACATGAATAAAACGTAAATTATACAACGCGGCGCGTAGCGACGACGATCGCTCTCGATTGCGTTATTCGATACGAAATCGCGGAGCAACACGTTGTATTGCGGTCCAATCACGATATTTGCACTTTCTCCTCAACGCATGCCGTTATCCTTCGGTGGGATTCCGATAATCACCGATAAAGAGATGTCCAGCTAACGGTCCAGACACTTTATTGTCTCGCAAATAATTCTACAGATATTTTCTACATAAATTAAAGATAATAAGACTGTAAGTTATTATATTTTATGTTACAACTTTTCCTATAATTAGTTCATAAAACTCTCGATTTTCAATGTTAATTCAAAAAGAATTTTCCCAATTCATACTAAAAAAATTATTGTTCTGATTTATCTGCGGTATTTTCTAATTTAAAAGACCGGTGTAACTTTTTTTTAATAATTTGCTTGAAAGAGAAAAAAAACATGTCTCCGCTTTCGTCTGGATCTCGAAGGCGCTTGTCAGAAGCCGACTGATCAAGAGCCAATTGGTAATTACGGCTTGGCAATCCATTCGAGCGGAAATTATGATATTGAACTCGCACTGTGGCATTGTGCAAGCTAACGCGAAAGAAAAGACTTCGGCGCAAAAATCTTCTAAGAAATCCATTTAACAATTAGTCTTTAATGCTCGCCTAAAGTAAGTCCTTACGTACCTAACCACTGTGCAATTAATAATACTATTAATATAATTTTGCACGTCAAGTTTTCTATTTATTTCAAATAAATTTCTAATATTAGAAATTTTATTACAGTAAAATATAGCATAATTCAACACAATTTTATCTTTAAATTCATAATTATAAATAATAAAGAGAGATCAAGTTTTTGAAATTTAGAGTATTTTTGACATTGCAATATATTAAAATATTTCAAATATGAAATACATCAAAAGACGAAAAACTGTCAGCCGATCATGATATATTCGCGTGAGATGTCAAGTATGACACTTTAGGGGATATAACGAGCGGACTCGTAAACACGTTTGCATCACAGGCAGACCTTCAATTTATAAACATAGAACGAAACCGCAAATATGTGACTACCGTTTTTAGCACCGAAGATGTGTCCCTCGTACAACAGGTTGGTAGCCGCCCACGCGTTTTATCTAGCGACTACATTTTATAGCTCTCGAACTCACGATCCGTG